CACGTCGCGGATAAGTTGGCCAGGAAAGCTAACCTCGAATGGAGGGTGTTGCGGGTTTCTTCCATATAAAAGTAAATTGTGTTTCTTCATTACATGGAAGCAATTGCGACAAAAAAATTCTAAAAAATAAACGGTAATTTTTAGCGACTTGAAACTTGCCCTTTGTTTTACTAAAATTGACAGGGCTACACAAATGCATACTCGAAAAGTTGAAAAATTTGAAGAAAGTTTTTTTTAATTTTTGTGAACTTTATATAAACTGTGAAACTTTGATTTATATGGCTTATATTACACCGTGCGACAAAAACCAAAAAAATTTTTAAAATACGAAAAAATCAATATATTCACAAAACTAGGAGCCAAATATAGTATAACTGCGTTTTTAATTTTTCTCTCCGACGTCAGGATTTTTTTAAAGGACTTTGAAATTTCTGGGATATGATTGAATAAAAAAATTATTTAAAAGATTTGGTGCATTGTAGAGTAAAAATATGGGTATCAATTAAAAGGAACAATTCTGTAGAACTAAAAAATTAATAATAATTTTTTGGTGCACTAGGACGAATAAGTGTTGAAAATGTCCCTTTAAAACTTTATCCTTGGAAATTTCCAATATTTATTTAAAAAATATATATATATATCAATGACTAATATGTAAACTACCACATCCTCGAATTTCGTCCTTCTACCTTTATTAGTTTTAGATAACAAAAAATGTACACTTCTCTTATAAGATATTGATAGTTACAATATACATAAATGAGGATACTGGAATCATTACACTGTACAGCACTCGGCTGGGTATTGGACCAAACCAACTTTTTTAAGAGATTGAGTCATAGGTAAAAAAGTAATTTCTCCGTTTTTCGAAGTTAGCCTCCTAAATCGAGAAATGGGCCTTCGAAGTTCGAAATAGGGCCTTTGATGAAAAATTATTTTTTATTATTATATGTAAATAACTAAAAAACTAAAAATATAGACGTAGTCCGCCTATTGCTCTTATTTAAATGGTATATAACCTTATTTTGTGCAAACTTATATTACAGGTCTTCGAAAAATTAAAAACCTTATATTTCAAACAATTTTGAACTGATTTTTAAAAAATTGGTATCGTTGTAAACGTGATTAAACCCCTTTCTTGTGATATGCATATTTGTATACTTCGTATGTAAAAATTTAAGAAAAAACATTTAAGAGGAAAAAATACATTTTTTTTTAATTTTTTAAACCAAAAAAAATACTAACCGATTTTTTAAAAATTAATATCGTTTAAACGCAATCAAACCTCCTTTCTTCTGATAAGCGTATTTGTATACTTCGTTTATAAAAATTTGAGAAAAAAACACTTAAAAGGAAAAAATACCTTCTTTTATAAAAAAAATATTTAAACAAAAAATTAGAAACCGATTTTTAAAAAATTGATATCGTTGTAAAGGCGATGAAACCTCCTTTCTTCTGGTATGCATATTTGTATATCGTTGTAAAGGATACCAGAAAACTTATACTTATAAAAATTTCTATTTACATATATACACAAAAAAAATTTAATTAAAAACATTTTTTTCCTCTGTATAAACTCCGGGCCGCCTAAGTGAAAGGCTGGCTATGCCCTTGTATACAAAACAATTAAAGTACTTAAACCGTACATCATAAGTTCAGTTTGTTCTTTTAGAGCGCATATATGGTTCCATAATGATTCCAGTATCTTCATTTATGAATATTGTAACTATGAATATCTTATTAAGAGAAGTGTAAAATGTTTTTTACCTAAAACTAATAAAGATAGAAGGACGAAATTCGAGAATGTGGTAGTTAACATATTAGCCCTTGACATATATTTTTTTCAAAAATAAATATTGGAAATTTCCAAGGATATTCAAGGATAAAGTTTAAAAGAACATTTTCAATACTTATTCGTCCTGGTGCACCCAAAAATTAAACTTTTTTTCTATTCTACAGAATTTTTCCTTTTAATTGATACCCATATTGTTATTCTACAATGCACCGTATCTTTTGAATAATTTTTTTATTTAATCACATTCTAGAGATTTCAAAGTCCTTTTAAAAAAAATCCTGACGTCAGAGAGAAAAACTAAAAACGCAGTTTTACTATATTTTGCCCCCAGTTTTGTGAATATATTGATTTTTTCGTGTGTAAAATTGACTGTCGCACGGTGTTATAGAATAAACTATATTTTCATAAACAACACTGGTTTACAGCAAAAATGTTGGATGAATGCCACTATGCAATTCCTATGTAGAATTGCCCGTTGATTCCGAAAATGGAGTTAATTTTTTATTCTAAGTTTTCGAGATATTTTCAGTTTGCCGTTATTCAGCTTAAAACAAAGAATAGTTCCACATAATCACGTATATCTTACGACCCAATTTAACAATCGTAATACGAATACGGTAAATGAAAGCCCACAAAATTCTCCATAAACTGTATATACACCACTTTTCGATAGGCCCGATAGTTTCTGAGAAATTAATAAATCACTCCAGATTTTTTTTTTTTAACAGGTTCAAACTTTAGCAGGGGAAAAATAAAAAAATAACGGGTTTTTTGTAATTTTTTTTATTTTATATGAATTCACGTCCCTTTACAAAAGAATGAAGCTACCAATGAAGAAAATCGATGGATAAATAAGAAATAAATGAGTGGTAAAATGAAAATGCGCAGGTTTTTTGTATGAAATATTAACACAACAAAAAGAGTTACTCAGGTGTACATGGCATATGAGTAACATTCTTTTGTGATTATTTTTCATACAAAAAATCTTTGCACGTTTTCATTTCACCTCTCATTACTTCGTTATTTATCCGTGGATTTTCTTCATTAGTAGCTTGATTTTTTTTGTAACTGAACAGGCTTTAACACAGTTGCAAAAGAATTTACACAGAATCTGTTATTTGAAAATTTTTCTCCTGTTAAAGATTGATAACTTTTTTGTTTTTTCATCAAAAAACAAAAAAATCTGGAATTTTTAATTTATTTGTCAGGAAATATCAGACCTATTGAAAAGTGATGTACATATGGATTATTGTGAATTTTGTTAGCTTTCATTTTCCGTAATTGGTATTAATATTGTTAAATTAGTTCGTGGTTAATTGGAACCCCTTTTTGTTTTAAGCTGAATAACGGTAAATTGAAAATATCTCAAAAACTTGTCCATAGACAAGATTTTCGGAATCAGCGGACGATTCTACATGGAGAATGGGTAGGGACATTCGTAGAACAAAAAACAACAACAAAAAACACTAATTTGTGATCCAGTGTAATTAATTCCAAATATTGGTCATGAAATAAATTGTTGTTCAGGGTAATTATCTGAACATTTTGGTATCAGATTCATACAGCGCAGACCATTTACCATCTCAAATGCCAGATTGACTGCGCTAATGTACCTATTAGGGATGTTAATTTTTCGGATTTTTCCGATCCCGGGATTTTCGGGATGGCGTTGTCGCAATCCCGGGATCATGTGATTAGTCCCGGGATTTAAATATGCATTACTTTTCAACAACTTGAATCGAAAAAATTTATTCAATATTGTTTGAGAAGCTGTTCTACCATGAAATAAATAACAAATAAATGGGTTTGAAACCATGGTACAATAATTACAGGTATTGTCTTCCCAGAGAGCGCATATTCCGATCTGACTTATTTAAAAAATGTCATTGTTGCCCACACTAAAACGTTTACTGCTGGAAATATCCCTTTTTCCATACCCCATATACCATATATGTTTATGTATGTTTTTTAACAAACCATCTTACAGAGAACTTATTCAATTTTCAAAAGCCGGAAAAAAACATTTGCTTGTAAATAAATTCAAAATTTGTATAGCTCACTTAATTTCAAAAGTTTTTTCTTTTGTTTTGAAAAATTATAAAAATTAAACTGAGCGAAAACAAAAAGCAAAGCCAAATAAAAGTAAAATAATCAACATTGAACTGCGTCAAAACTCTCTAGGAAGACAATACCGGTAATTATTGTACCATGGTTTGAAACCTACTTTTTTATTTAAAGTAGCGTTTTTATTTTTTCTTTCTGACCGTAGGATTTATTTTAAAGGACTTTGTAATTTCAAAGATATGACTAATTCCAAAAATTATTAAAAAATTCAATGCAATAAGAAATGCAATAGGAAATTTCTTTAGAATTTAAAAAATTTTAATTTCAATTTCTACCAGCCCTTTTGCACTAGAAACTTGAATATGTTTAAATTCTACAGGATTTCCTCATTATTTTTTTTCTGTTAAAGCGACCAACCACACACGTTTGTTATTACTTTTTTAGTCAATAATTTAGTTATGTACAAAGCCGATTGGCGTTTAAATAAATAAATAAATAAATAAATAAATATACATATTAAAAAATTTTATACCCATACTTCTCTAAGCAAATTTCTCTGAATTTTTTAAATCATTTTTGAATTACTGACGTCAGAGTGAATAACTAAAAACGCAATTTTACTATATTTGACCCATGGTTTCGCGAATATATTGATATTTGTGATTAAAATTTACTATCGCGCGGTGTTATATGTACAATTAGCTAGACATTTATAAAACAATATTAATTATTAAATAAAATAAATAAATATAGCCAATGCTGGTCAAAAAAAGGAGATTCTATTATTGCCATCAGTGCAAATTACAAATCCCGAAAATCCCGGGATTACTTGCCAAGATTCCCGGGATTACTTGCCAAGAATCCCGGGATTTTGGAGACCTTAAAAAGTCCGGGATCCCGGGATCCCGGGACTAACATTCCTAGTGCATATAGTGTAATAAAAAAGTAAAACTAATTTTTTTCTCAGAAATTTTATAAATTGAGGATTAATTTATAAAGCCGTACGTGTGAAAAAAGTAACTTTGTTGTTGTTGATGGACAAGCCGATCTATGTAGGGCTAAGCCGCTACAACAACAACAAGTAACATTATAATTGGAGACAGTGGTTCACTTACACGAGGAATAACCCATATGTACTTACTCTGCACATGACACAATCCCACTGAAAACTGTCCCAATTCGGGCATTTGTCGGAGTATCTCCTCTGTGACTAAATGAACACCTCTATGCTGTGGTCGTAAATTGATTTTGCGTTGAAACCACGCCGAGCCAATTTGTAGGCCCGAACTACCGCCAACACCGCCGCCGCCGCGGTGATTGGACGATGCCATTGTGCTATTGGACGAAGAACTGCGAATGTTGCTTTTGCGGCTCGCACTAGTCTTAATATTGTGAACGCTTCTGGTATTGCTAATAGTATGCTGCTGCGGAATAGTGCTATGACTCCGCCGCCCACCACGACTACGTGCACCACCGATACCACCGCCACCTGTGCCACCAGTTTCTGTCCCCGCACCAGCACCAGTGCCTGCTCCACAACCTGATGATGATGGGACCGCCGTTGTTGTCGTTGTTGCCGTGTTTTTAGCAGCAGGTGACGCCGCCGTTGCTGCCACTGTTAACACCTTATTAGAACGACGGCCAACTGCTGGCGAACCTGCAGCAGCAACAGGTGCTGATGTTTTTTGAGTTGGAGGTGTTCCCGACGTTTCGGCAGTAAACTCGCTTGCAAATTCTCTTCAAAACTTTTGTAATGTTTTTTGTATTTCAAAAGAAATCCAGATCAAGAGCCCATATATATTTCTACTTTTCTGTGCAATCACGTTTATGCTAATAGTGCATCTGATATTCGATCTCCTCGCTCTAGTTTTTGTGCATTCAATTATAATTTTCGTTGCGATTTGTTGGTTTGTGTTTTCGGGCAAACCTAAGGCAGAGGCGCTACTGCAGCTCGTGAACATGTACACGTGGTGGAAATCACTGGTGCTTTCTCGATTTGTACTCTCAAACACACGATACCGCACACGAATCTGCTGGAAATTATTGCATTCTGATTACCATACTCAAATCTAATGGGAGAGCACCTAGAAATGGAAAAAATAAAAATATGTCAGTCATGTATATTCAAGTACATTTGCTTGAGTGCAAGTAAGAATACACAAAGAGGATATCGATGAGATACTGTTTATAAATGAATAAATTTTAACACTACACACACATAAAAGCTACATTTTGTATAAAATTACTAAATTTATATCACGGCGCTGCAAAAAAAAAAAATCGCGAAATATACCCGAAACAAAACGTAGAGTAGGTTGTAGGTCGGGTCGAGTACAACATGAAAATAGGATTCTTATAGTTCCTGAACCCTCAATTTTTATTTTATTTAAAAACAACCGTTATGTTCGTACAGGATGCACTTTTCTATCTAACAGATTCACTATTTTGCAGTAAAACCCGCTTAAGTACTTCACGAAAATGTCAGCATTTTGAGGTACTTAGGCAGGTTTGGGTACTTAAAAAAGCCTATCATTTCAAATTCAAAATGATATTGTTTGCCACTTATGTTTGTTTGTTAATTTTTAAGATTTTTTTTTCTTTTTTCATTCCCTAACAAATACCATAAAAGCTTAAAAATAGCTTAAAATTTTGCAGAACAGTGAAGAAACAATTTTCAAAACTTCAAACTTGTTTCTCAAAACTGTTAAATATTTTATTTGTATATTGTGCAAGTTTCAAGTGGATAAAAATTAGCGTTGATTTTTTAGAATTTTTTTCCGAAGGTGTGCAGCGCTGCCACTGAATTTCAAAATACGTAAATATTTGAAGAAATTTTAAAAGAGCACTTAAAAGGGGAAAATTATATCTAAAATTGTAACTGGAATACAGAAAATTTAGGACTTAGGTAGGTTGGGTAGCGTACCTAGGTGAGGGATTTTCCCGATTACATTAAAAAATTCACGGTGCCCAAAAATGTTGAGAACTTAAGCGGGTTAGGTACTTAAGCGAGGGGGTTCTTAAGCGGGTTTCACTTTACTTTGTTTTGTAAAAAGATTTATAGACCTTTAAAATTATGTCTGTGGTCATAAGCAATAATCGCCTAAGTCGAAAAACCTGAATTCGAGAAAAAACGCTTTAAAGATTTGGATTGTAATGTTAACCTTTGTATCTATAACTTTTTAAATAGCCTAGCTATCGAGATGGGAGTTTCACATACATATGGAACAGTAGTTGCAGAAAACGATAGCATATATAACTCAATTCTTTCTTAAGTCGACTTAGGCGGTAATTGCTTATGACCACAGATGTATAAAAATCATATATGTAATACTCCTATATTGGCAGTAAGAGCTAGTACCGTCCGAAAACACTACAGTACAGATATATCAATAAACACGTACGAAAGAAAAGGAACACATACGTTTATAAATAAACATGTACACAACACATATACAAAAACGGCACTCAAGTACACAATACATTGACAAAAATTGTACTAGACTGTCTCGCTTTGATTTCGGAATGCTTACACATTGAGAAGTTAGCTTACTGCCAATATAGAAGTATTACATATATGATAAAAATATATTGCTAGACTTAGCTTGTTGGGAGTTTTTATCGGGTAAAATGTAACAAACCCCTATTTTTCTTAATTTTTTCGACTTTGACCATCGCTGATTTCAATAAAATAATGTAAAAAAATACTTTTTAAAAACAAGCTTTTATTTAACATGTACAATCAAAGGAATAAAATAAAGTAGTGTAACAAAAGATTTTTTAGCAAGAAAATTTTGTCAAAACTGCACTAAAATGAATAAAATAAAATAAGTTAAGGTCTCGTTAAAGTTACTAAAAGCCATTTAGTGAAAGGAGTTATTCAAACTCTAATGAAAATTACTAACAATTTGTACTAATTTACTTCGATTTTAAAAAAGCTTGTCGCGCGAATCGCAAACCGGCATTTACATATCTGCATACATACATATACCTAACCAATTATGCATGTATGCTGAATTCGCCGACAAGCATTTTTAAAAACGAAGTAAATTAGTACAAATTGTTAGTAAATTTCATTAGAGTTTGAATAACTCCTTTCACTAAAGGGCTTTTAGTAACTTTAACGAGACCTTAACTTATTTTATTTTATTCATTTTAGTGCAGTTTTGACAAAATTTTCTTGCTAAAAAATCTTTTGTTACACTACTTTATTTTATTCCTTTGATTGTACATGTTAAATAAAACCTTGTTTTTAAAAAATATTTTGTTTAAATTATTTTATTTTCTAATTTTTAGTCCATTTATAAAAGCGTTGTATATTAAAAAGTGTTATTTTATTTTAGGTACAAAATTTTGCAATAGATATTAAAATAATTCAACTTCCAATGATAGAGAACAGAAGATTATGCAAGCAAAATGTTTGCTTACGTTTTGTATAAACATACATATGTACATATAGCAGCAGCTAATTTCATTTAAAGAAATGGCGTGTCGTCCATTTCCGCTGTAGCATATGTAAATGGCATATATGTATTTAGGCGCAATATTTAACTTCTTCTGGCGGGGAGACATCTGGAGTCTTCTAATTCCTACAACGAGGTTCAGTAGTGCGATTCCCATTTTTCTTAACGACCGATATTCGTTATTGATAATGAACGACGTTTGTAGCTTGCAGTAGCGAATAGGCTATTCTCAAAAACACACTTAACGACAGAATTCGTTAGACATGTCGATAAAGAAGTTTACGACGATTGTCGTTAATTACAAAGCCAAATATGGCAATATTGACGTTTGCCACTCAATATTTAAAAGATACTTGTTATTAGGAGTGTTCGCTATGCAAAAAATTTGTGCAAGTTGGTACCAATTGTTACCAAATAGTGTTCGTTTTGCCAAAAACCCAGTAAAACTTGCAAGGAGAGAGCACAATTTTGACATTTCATTTGGAGGGGAAGTTGCAAATTCGTGCTGGGAAAATTTTTGCCAGTAAGAATTGGCAAGCAGGATTGTGGCACACGGATGCATTTTTGTCAACATTAATTTGAATCAAAAATTTCGTTAAAATTAAAAATGAACAATCTTGTTGCGATTTACTAATGAAAGAAGTATGTAAATATTCGTTTATTCAATTTATTTAATTAATTCCAACCATTTGAAAGGTACTCGGCTGAATAAGCTGTATTCATAATCGGAACGCAGTCGACACCACTGTCGATAAAGGAAATCCGACAGTGACTTCCACAAAGAAATTGAAGCATATGATAAGGAAAGTCAGAATAAGAAGAAAAACACGTATAGGTCCCGTTTTGGTTTCCACCTGAAATAATTAAAAAAATTTATTAAGCTCGAAATGCAACCGTGGACGCCGGCTGGCAGTGAAGCTTGCAAATGTTTGCTAATTCCTGTTCGCGCAAAACTTAGTAAGTTTCTCTCTTTGGGAGAGTAAGGTACCTTATTCTCTGAATTTTGTTACTGGCTAATTCTTACTGGCAGTTGCATAGCGAACACTCCTATTGTTGCGCATATTATTGTGTCGGGATTGTTGTTTGTGAATACAATATGAAAAAAAGAAGAGCAGGAGCTACTACGGAGCAGTACCATAGGATGCTGGGCTGCTTATTTGGCAATAATGGCCTGGTGCAAGGCGAATTTAATAAGGGGGTATAAGCCGTATATAAGTAAAAAATTACAAATTTACGCACAATTACAGTATGAATTACAACAAACACATCATTTTGACATTATGCTTTCCACGTCTAAAAATTCAGCTTTGGCTCTAGTTTTCGACGTAAGGGTACTTGAAAATTTCCTTAAATTTAAAGTTTTTTTTTTTATAAATAACTCCAACAAAGTCCGTTAAAGTCATTTTACCAAACTTTTTCACGTGACTATTTTTGAATATAACCTTCACTATCATGTTTTCATTCAGTCAACGACTAACTATCAACCGGTTCGGACGTGTTAGCAAGTGCCATTGTCAGTTGCGAATAAATAATACAAACAACAATCATACACAGTGTTCACTCCTCCGTTTTATTACACTTTCGTAGTAACAAACAAGTGCATCGTCCTATACAAAAAACCGCTACATTCACATATATACACACATAAAATGCGACCAACACCTGAACCACCGGACAAAACAACAAATCGCTTCTCAATGCTTAGCGAAATGGATACATACGACACCCACATTTTCCCTACATTACACCAAAAACAAACAGCAATCAACCAACCAAAATACTTGACAATATCATCAACTAACAACCAATTAGCAAAACTTTCCCCGTTTATAATAAAAAAGGGTATTGATGCGATATCAACCCAAATAGATAGCATCAAACAACTAAAAGACGGCTCTTTACTTGTCTTAGCACGAAATTCGAAAATAGCGGATAAATTTCTGAAAACTAAAACTCTATCAAACGTGTGCCCTATCACGGTCAAGTTGCAAGAAAACCTTAACACGGTAAAAGGTATGATTTATGCCCCATGTCTCAACTTCGTAAAAGAAGAAGAGATCGTCGAAGAATTAAAAAGTCAGGGAGTATCAGGCATTTACAAATTCACTCGCACACTCGATGGCAAAACAATGCCCACTGGAAAAATGGCAGTCAATTTCGACTTATACCATCTTCCAAAAACTCTGGACATAGCATGGTACAAGGTAAAAGTTTCCCCTTACTACCCGAACCCGATGCGCTGCAAGAATTGCCAACTTCTTGGCCACACAAAAACCCGATGCACCAACCCCAGCACATGCGATGGATGCAACTTACCACCCCATTCCCCAACAGAATGTACACGTAAACAGTGCGCAAACTGTGGCGAAGATCACTTCTCTTCGGACAGAGACTGCCCTAGATATAAGCAAACCAAAGAAATCTTAAAAATAAAAACAATCGAAAAGTGCTCGATGGGCGAAGCCCGCCGCAAATATAGCGAACGTTTAAATCATGTACAAAAACCTCAAGAAACATATTCCAACATCTGCCGATCAGAAACTAACAAATCAAATACACCAACAATAACAACATCCAAACGATCTGCTTCACCAACAAAAACCAATACGACCAAAATACCAAAA